ATGATCAGCGTTTCAGGACCCTTCCAAGCCTGAGATTTTTCTTGAGCATGTGACTAGATAAATATCAAATTCCTTTAAATATGGCTTACCTTGTTCTCCTCCTATGAAAAGCCATTCCATTTTTTTTTAGAGAGGGCTAAATCAGTGAAAAGCAGTTTCTTTTTTTGTGGGTCCCATTCACCATTTATGTAGTATTTCTCTTTTCTTCATAGAACTGTTACTGTTTTCATAAAGTAATCGCTAGACTTAGCACCCCTAAGTTCTGGTGTACTTTAAGTTACATAATTACTTCTTTTTATCCTTTAAAAACTATTCATAATTAGGAATATTAGTCTTTTAATATTGTATGATTTTAGCTGTCACTAGGAGATAATTGGATTCTTTATGTTGCTTGAACATTTGTTTCCAACCTTTCACCAAAATAAATTGAGACTTTTCATTGAGGGGATAAGAACATCAGTTTTCAAGTATTGTTTATCATACTCATATTTAAACAAATCATTGCCAATCTGTGTGGTCAATTGTAGGATTAACCCATTACAGGGAAAAATGGTCTGAAACTTTCCATTGTTTAACTTTATATTTGGCCTATTCAACCTTACCATTCCTGGAAAGACCTTGTGTATTATGATGCAGAGTTGGAATAGAGAACTCTATTTAAATAGTGATTTGTGAAATAGGTTTTCTGAAGCATATTTGTATTGCCCAGCCTATGACTCTTGCTTTTGGAATTACAGACCTTTCTATTAAGGATGCTTTGAAAATAAGTATAACAGCATGTGGCTGTGACAAAGAGACCGGGTCTTTTATGAAAGCAGAGGTTTATACCACATATAACAGCAAAGTTCAGGTCAAGTCAGGTATCAATATAAAATGCAACAATATATTTCTCTGAGTTAATATACTTTCCTGTTCTGAAAAAAAAAATCTTTTAATACCTTGCATGGAAAAATATTTAAAAGGAAATCATGCATGCATGAAATTTAAAGTTAGTCCCCAAAATAGAGTCAATTCAAAATAATCAAGATGTGTCTGCATCTAGAACTTTAAAAAAATAAATGAAAGGAATGCTTTCTATCCTATCTTATTCATATGGACATTTCGCTCTCTGTGTGTTTTCTCCTCCCCCCATTGGAAGTAAATTTAGGAAACAAAATATACATAAAAAAAAAGAAAGAAAGAAAGAAACACACACACACACACACACACACATTTTATTACCTAAAACCAGACTCTGCCCCCATCACATCCAAATATTAACAACACAACTTTGTATAAAAAAAGTAAACTAGGTCAGTAGAGATTTTACAGTCAAGGATTAAGCTCATTTAACTAACAAAAGTTGGTATTATTATCAAATAAATTTATGATCTTGTCTGAGATTATATTATAAATAAAA